ATAATGAAGAAATCAAGAAAGTTAGATTTGAAAATGCTAACATAAAAGTACAATTAATTTCACCAAATGTTAAAAAAAAACTTTATTAAGCTACGCTAATAAACTAGCTTCTATCATGAGAGATATAAGTGATTCTTACTTCTCCATCATAGTTGACGGGTCTTGTGATGTGTCAACAAAGGAACAATTGGTTGTCGCAGTCAGATATATTAATAAAAAGGGGCAAGTTATTAATATATTTGTTCGTGTTAAACATATTTTCTCACTTCAGTTGCACTCAAAACAACTCTTGTATTTATACTTGTAAAACATTCCTTAAGCTTACATAAGGTACATGGCCAAGGCTTATGAAAGGGCATCCAATAGGCGATGGGATTTTAATGGTTTGAAATCACTCGTTCTTAATAATAATCCTTAAGAATTCTACATTCATTACTTCGTTCATCGGCTTTAATTGTGTTTAGTAAGTAAGATATTTTTTTTGAGTTCACTTCAAGAATCCTAAATACCATTAGAGCTTCTTGTAAGAGGAATAATGCTCTTAAAACAATTCAATCTGAGAAAATTCTTTTGCATCTTAAAGATGAGAAAATAATTAGCAGTGGTGATTCAAAAAACTACTCTGCAAGAAAGCCAGAGACACCGGTTGGAACTCACATTTTTATACTTTAGTTAGTCTTATAGAAAAGTATGCATTCGTACTTGAAGTGTTTGAGTTTTATAAAATTAGTTGAAACCCATATTTTAAGTGATGCAATGAAAAGTTTTGACTTTGTTTTCATGGTGCATTAATGATTAATATTTTAAGAGTTGCAAATGAATTATCACAATCTTTACAAAAAAAAAAAGATCAAAATATTGAGAATGCAATGAAACTGGTGCATGTATCAAAATAACGACCACAAATGTTATGGAAGAATGAATTAAATTTCATATTAGAAGTGTCTGATTTTTGTAATGTTTTTTAAATTGACTTTTCAAATATGAACTCCACTTTTAAGGCTTAATGAAGATCAATAGGAAGAGATGAATAAATTACAAATTTTCATCATTATCGTGCTGAGTTGTTCTACACTATGATTATGAGAAAATTTCAAGAGATGAATAATCATTTCTTTGGAGCAAGTACCAAGTTGTTTTTTTTTATAGCTTGTTAAATCAAGTGATTTATTCTCAACTTTTGATAAAAGAAAGCTAATTCATTTTGTAGAGTTATATCCTAATGATTTGTTGAGCTTGTAGCTCTCGTTTATCGGTTATCCACTTATATTATTGATATGTGTTTTAGTGTTGATTTCTCATTTTTAAGAGACATTGTTGATCTTGTAAAACAACTTATTGAAGCTAGGAAGAATTGTGTATATCATCTAGTTTATGGACTTACTACATTAGCATTAAGTTTACCATTTATTATTGTTATAGTTAATAGGGTTTTGTTCTGCCTTGACGGTTATCAAAACATCGATTACAGAGTCGAATGAGTGATGACTGACTCAATGATTGTCTTATACCACATATTGAGAAATAAGTATTCGATGAATCTATTATGCAGTATTATCAATCAATGCCAAACAAATTGAAAAGTTTGTAATTATTGTACAATTATTTAATGATAATGAAATGTAAGCTTTTGTTTTGAATTATGCGCTGTTCAGAACATGATTGGAGTGCATGATTGATAAAAGAGTTAAGTAGAGAAGTTTAGCGCTGTAAATATTAGTTGAGGGACATTTACATGCATAGCACACAATTCTTATATATTTACATATTTCTAGGGTTGTCAAAATGGCTCCTTGTTCGCGAACAGCTCGTGTTAGGCTCGTTACGAAGCTCGTATTCGGCTCGTTCGCTAAGTTAACGAGCCGAACACGAACAACACGAAAAAATATTTGTTTGCTCGTGTTCGGCTTGTTTTGGCTCGAAATACTACAAATCAATTATATATAAAGGTTGTCAAAACGACTCTTTGTTCGTGAACGGCTCGTGTTCAACTCGTTAAGCAAATGAGCCGAACACGAACACGTGTTCGACTCGTTTACACCCCTACATATTTCACGCCTAAATTTTCATATTTACACACATAGCAACTAATTCTTTAATACACATAAAAAATAGCAATTAATTCTTTAATACACATAAAAAATAGCACTATTATCACTTGTTAAAAGTCATACACCTTTTCATGCATATATTTAAAACGCCAGAGTGCTATGAATGTAAATATGAAAATTTAGGTGTGAGATATGTAAATACATAAGAATTGTGTGCAACATATGTAAATTTCCCATCATTTTAATTTACTTTTAAAACTTATTTATTGATTATTCCATTGGAAATAGTTAAGCCTTAATTAATATTAGTTAATTATATATTCGATGAAAACAGTTAATCAAACCTAATTAATAAAAATAATTGACATAATTTATCGGATATTGTTTAAGTTATTTGGTGAAGCTCTTAGCATTGATAAGAAAATGTTTAAATCTTCGTGTATGTTTATTTACATTATGTTTTTCTCATATTAATATATTTAATAGGAAGCTTTACATATATACCACGCAATTCCCATGTTTTTACATATGAACACCTAACCTTCAATTTTTTACCATATATACCACATCTCCTCTGCATGAATAGTTATATTTCACCTTTGATATGAAATATTTGTGTGGTATAGTTGTAAAAAACAAAATATAGATGTCATTTATGTAAATACATGGGAATTGGGTGGCATGTATGTAAATGCCCCTAAAATTGTCTACTAACCAAACAAAGCATCATTTTGTAGGTGTGTTTAGGTTATACTTTCCAACCAAATTATCCCCCACAAATCAAGCACTGAATTAGTTAATGAAATCATTAGCATGCTCAAAGTGCCAGCAAAGAGGGTTGATTTCAGAGAGACAGATTGAAACCTAAGCAAGCATCAGGTCATATGCGCAGGCCTAAGGTCTAAGAGCGAGAAATTATTACATACGGCGCTACGTGCGTACTCCAATAATATACTGTCATGTGTGTTATATCGGGCCCACCCCCAGCGGAGATTATTGAAGCGGAACCGCGGTGGTTATTGGTCTGGTAATTGAGGGGGTTATTGAAGCATTAATTCTAATAACGCCGCAATAACCTCTCAATAATCTCCCAATAACCTCCTCTGTTACACTCTCAATAACCTCTGCGATTACACTACGCAATAATCTCAAAATAACACCCAAATAGCCACCCAATAATCTCCGCCCCATGCATAACCCCCACAATAATCTCTTAATAACACCTCAATAAACCCTCAATAATCTCCGCAATTTCATTTCAATAACCTCCATGTGACGGTATATTACTGGAAGTCCGCACGTAGAGCTGCATAAATGTTTCATATGGAATAATTTTTCCTAAAGAGCAGACACTAAAGCTCTCCCACAAAGAAGAAAAGTTAAACTGTTGAAAAAGAAGCACAAGCTGATCGCCAGCACAATGATGTTGTACAAGAAAAGGATTGCTGAATTGTCTCTACAAAGTTGTCTCATAAACTTTTATCATTAGCTTTTGCTTTTGATGTTCTTTGTCTATAATTTT